CAAAGAAACAGATGGGGTAAACATAGGTTTATTCAACCTAAATCCTAGAGTGCAGACATACAGGCTACTATTTGAAATTCCAAAGGGGGGAAATTTAGGATACTGAAGATCACACATATACTGCCACAAAGGCAAGAAGCCCGAATTGAAGAGCTAACATAGTCAAATAGAAATGGCTGTGAAATGGGAAAAGGGACATAATTCCAGTTTAACAGGATTTTAAGGACACTACCAAAGTTCTAATCCCCACAAAGCAACAAAACCAAACCCAAGATAAAGCATGAGAAAGGATGTTTGCTCTCCCTAACAAAAGGAGAAAATTGACAGTGAAAACTGGAGAGATGGTTTCTTTCTATTTTAAACAAAGAGATGCAGTGATTCTTGGGAAATCTAATTAAGGTGGTGCTTGTACTCTGATAGCCTTTACTGACAACCTCTGTGCCCTGACAGCTCTATAAGCCAGTGGGCTCAGGGCCCCTTTGGTCTCAAGCTTACACAGATGGGTCTAGATGAAGCAATGAGTTTCACCCTTAGAGATCCAAACTTTTCAGAAAGAGAGATAAATACATTATCTTCCTTCCACTCCCAAAAGTTGAGGGTCAGACAGATAAAATGCTGACAAGGGGTTAAGTTCCTTAAAAGGAGTCTGAAAAGGTCTGTTTCTTAGAAACAGTCTGTCTCTCTCTTTCTCTCTTTTTTTTTTGTACGTGGTTACAGTCAGAGTTGATGTTGCTTTGTTTTCTACTTTAATAATTAAATCAGTGGTTCTCAGTTGGGGGTCTTTGCCCTCCAGGGGCCATTTGGCAAGGCCTAGAGACATTTCTGAATTCCACAACTGGGGGTGGGGCTGAGTTGTGGTACTGGCATCTAGTGGGTAGAGACTAGGGGTGCAATGCACGGGAATGCTCCCCACAACGAGGCCTAGCTGGCCCCAAATGTCCGTGGTGCCAAGGCTGGGTAACCTCATGTTCAACCATTCTTGCTAAATTACACTACCCAGTCTGAGCAATCATTGTTTTTTCCTGAATTAAATGCCTCCCTGAGAGGGACAATTCATAGTTATTATTTTTTTTAAGATTTATTTATTTATGCATATAAGAACTGGGGTACAAGCCAGAAGTGCTGGGGCTTGTATGTGAGAGAATTTGCCAGAGACAGAGTGGGGAGCAGAACAGGCAAGATTGACTGAATTACACTGCTGAGGGGAGCAGCAGGTGAGACTGGAGAGGTCTGCCGCGCCATGTGGGTCACCTCCCTGGCCAGGGATTGAGCTAGTGTGCTGCAGTAGCTGTGGACAGCTTCACAGTGCTGTACTTTAACCCCTTGTGCCACCATGGAGGGCCAGGGCATGTCATAATTAACTAATCATTTTGCTGATGTTGGCCTATCAGATTTTTCCCAATTTTTCTCTATTATGGATAATGCTTCAATAGACGTCTTCAAACACTTTTTTTGTACCTGCAGAATTATTTATTTAGGATGAAATTCCAGAAGTCAGATACACAGGATCAATGGGTATAAATATTTGTCGTGTTTTATGGGCATACTGTCATTTTGCTTTATAAATAGATCAAGTGAATTTCAGTCCATGACAAGCCAAGTATACGTTAACCAAAACCATGGGTTACTGGTTTTACTATTAAGCAAGAAAAGAGAGGATTGTGAAATTGCAAATCAATAAAAACATTTTCTAAAAAGCTAGAGGAAGCATCTCCAGCTTGCCACAAATTTGCATGTACCTTGCTAGAGGGTGGATATTTTTCCATATTTGTTTTTTATTACTAATATATTTGATATGAATTCTCTTGCTTATTTTTCTAACTGGTTTCAAATGTTTTTCTTTTAAAATTGAATGTGATCCTTACCATGTATAGAGGGTAATGCTGTTGTAGCTAATGCAGTTATTACTTTTTCTTTACATATAAATATTTTTAAAGATTTATCTATTTATGCATACAGAGCTGGGGTACAGGCTAGGGGTGCAGGGGTGGTGAGAGGCTTCACCAGAGACAGAGCGAGGAGCAGAACAGGCTGACTGGTGAAGTACACTGCTGAGGGGAGCAGTGGGTGGGTCAGGAGAGGTCTGCTGTACCATGTGGGTCACCTCTGGGGCAGGTGGGAATCGAACTCATGCGGAAGTGGCTTTAGCTTCTTAGTGCTACGCTTTAACCCGCTGCGCCACCAGGAAGGGCCCTATATATAATTTTTTATGTTCTAATTTCTCTCCACTCCTCTGTATCCCTCCCTATACAGATATATACAGATATATACAGATATATACAGATATATTACCGTTCCTGGAATTTTCATTTACAATTTTAATCCTCCTTTTACCTGCTGGTCACCTCACACAACTTGTGGCCTCACCACAGAGAGCAGGGAGGTAGGTAGGTAGGTGTGTGTGTGTGTGAAGAGGAAAGGCTTCTCTGGGGATTGATGTCAGTCACCAGCTTAAGAGCAGCGCTTTGGGCTCTGACAGTATCCCAAGAACTAATTTCCCTTAATAAATGAGGGCCTTAGGAGGAGCCACAGGCAGAGGGAAAAACCAAACGTGAAGGAGAATACCAGATTCGGGGAGGAGTTTGAAGGACTTGTATTAGGGAAAGGGCTCCAAACCTTCAGGACTTCAGAACTGATACCGCTGTACCAGCTATTAATATGCAAAAAACGCCTCATAAATACTTGATTCTGTTCACAGTGGGGAGGCAGTTCATTTGAAAGAGGAAATAGGAGCTTGGAGTTGAAGCATGTCTGCTTTTTCTTTTTTCATTGCTCTTTTCATCTCCACGTTTCTCCTTGTAGTTTACTTCTTTCTCAACCCACCCTAACCCCTCCTCCAGCCCCTAGGAAGTCGTCCGCGTCCATGGCTACGATCCTTTCTACTTAAGGATTTATTGTCCAGGCCCAGATCATCGGGCCAGGTGTGGAAGGGGCCCCTCAGGACTTGGTCCCGATACAACCGCTGAGGAACCTTGGCAGACGGTTGAAAATTCAACCAGTAGGGGGCGCCCGGAGGCAGCCTCGGCAGCGGGCAAATCCCTGCGCCGCGTCACGTCTGCAAAGCTCGTGCAGGCTTTTTCCCTTTACCCTCCCGGTCAGAAATTGTTTTCTAAATCTGGGCCTGTGACTTCTTACTGAAGATTGGTGAGAGCAAAATATTCTGCCTTTGATGTTCTCCCCTCTCTCAACTAGCACAGTGTTAAAAAAAAAAAAGTAGAAGTACTTTAACTCTTAAAATGGTCACACCCCAGTGAAAGAAAGTATGGAAAGAATAGAAACAGCGGATGCTGATAAAGATCAATTTGGGGTGATAATATCCTTGTTTGCTTCAGAGCGGGAAGGCGACAGTGGGAGGAATATGCTGGGGGTGCCAGTGGCCCATCAATGTTAGTAACTGAAATCTGCTGGGCAGAAATTTGTTTCTAAATGCTTTCCAGATGCTTTATAGTAAACATGAAATTAGTCATTTACATGGAATAGGTTGAGGAAGTAGTGAAAATTGAAGTCAGTGATTACGCTAATAAAGGATCATTTGCCTCAAGGAGTAAGGGACTGGGGAAGCAAAGAAGACACCTCCCCACCACACCCCAACCCTCTCAGTGTTTGGGGGTCAGGGGGTCTCTAGGCTTTTCCCCAAATGGTATTCATTTCAGGGGTTACTTCTAAAGGAAATAAGGCTACTCTGACTTGTACAAGCCAGCTGGCTCTGGTAGGAGCACCCTTCCTTTCACAAGGGAGGCACACAAGTTCGGAGTAAGCTGGTTTGCCACAGCCTCACAGGGGAAACCCAGGGTTAGAGTTTGAGATCTGGGTCTGGTGCTCCTTTCTGACTACAAAGTTAATAATTTGACACAACCGAGCATTCTCTTATTGCGGTGACAGTTCGTCTTCTGAATTCAGCCAAAGGGCTGTGGGATTCTGGAAGGTGTTTGGATATATATGAGGCATTTACAAGGTCTTGGGAGCTCTGGGGTCATCAACATATAGCATATGTTCCTTAGTCATGTATTCTCTTAAATAAGAAAAATTTCTAGATCTCTTAGAAAGGGTATGAATTGTCAGTGGGCAACTTGAACAAAAAAAAAAAAAAAAAGGAAAACATTGGTTCTGTGCTTCCTCAGGAGCAGGAGGAAGGGTCAACTCAGCTGTTTTTTTACCTCAGGGGAGGCCTGACCCAGTCGTGGGGCTCTAACAGTGAAAGTTCAGGTCCTTCCCTGGAATTCAGCTAGGCACACGTAATAACAAAAACTACTTTTGTTATTATTGTTTTTTAATGAGTGTGAGGGAAGATGAGAAAGCCTGGCTGAGGCAGGAGGTTGGAGCTAAGTGGGATGTACAGACCATGGGCCCCTCAGCTGGTCTGCAGGGAGAGACCAGTGCCCCGGGCTGTGGTGCCTCTGCCTCAGCTGTAAGACCAGCAGGAGCCCTAGGAATTCTCCTGAGCTATCTGTCCAGGGTGAATTTGAAGACAGGCCCAGGCTCCAAGCTTCAAATAAAGGAGCAAACTTATAAATATTTGTGAACATATGTCCTTGAACCATGAGTAGAATTTCCTAACCACCTAGATGAAGCATGTTTTCTCCTTCCCTTATGGTGTCATTGTAGTTTTTTCCTTAATTGCTACCCCCCCCCCCGCCTCCATCTATTCTGAATGAATATTTGAGTGGAAAAATGGGCTCATTAGCACAAGGTCGAGAGCCTACTGCCTCGGTGAAGGCTGTATCTTCCTGTGTTTCCTTGTTCTCTTCTTGACTTCCCAGAAGTCAGGGAAGTCAGCTTATTCACGAACATGATAAGCCAGACAAAACAGTCTAATTTGAGTTAGGACATTCCAAGTCTATGAGTTAAGGAACCTCTGTGATTTTATAGTCTACTTGTCTCATTTTATTGATGAGGAGCAGAGAGGTGAAGAATCTTACCGACTGTCACATAGCTTGCTGGGACAAGAACCCCAAAGTCTTGACTCCCTGTCTCATGCTCATTCAGAATCAGTACTGTACCTGCTTCTCTGCTTTTTGAGTCAAAGGTGAGATTTCATTAAGATTCACATGAAGACCAGTTCTGGATTCAATATTTACTGTGGTAGAAATCAGAGAGAAAAGGATCAAGGTTGTTAAAACTAGGGCTCATGAATTTTTATAAATATCATATACATACCAATCTAGTTCATATGTGCAAGATTATAAGCACACAATGCCTATGACATTCATATTTACTCATCAAACAGCATTTATGACATTTATAGGCACAGTCTAAAGACTATGCTGAAATGACCTTATAGACACATTTTTATTTTTCTTGTTTTGGTTGTTACTCAAAAAGAAACAACAAAAGCAAATTCCTTGTGCTACTACAATTCAGATAAAGCTGAAATTAAAAAGGAAATATTGATGGCAAAAAATCTGCTGATGCTATTGAATATAAATTTTGTATGATGCACTTCAATACAGTGGAAAAATGCTTCTACAGCCTTCCAGATGGACAGATCAGAGATACCCCTTTTCCCTAATGTGTGCAGGGGCAATAGGAGGGGTGAAACATGAAGCAAACAGTGACAGAAGTCGAGGGGCTGGAAGGGGGTGGGGGGGCAACAGAAATCATGGAGTGACCAGGAAGGGCACCAGGCAGACCCAGGCCATGGTGTTGGCCTATGAACACAGCTTTCCTCCGGGCCTGGGGCTGGGTGTTGCCATTGCTCTCTGCAGGTATAGAGGCTGAGACTCAAAAGCTAGAGTAATCTACCCAAGGGGGTACAACTAGTGACATTTTGAGTCAGGATTTGGTGCCAGACCACCTGCTTCAAGCCCGGTGATGCAAATAGTTAACATTTCTTTTTCCTTTCTTTACCCCAAGATAGTAAATTTAATGTTTATAAAGGAATGTGTTTATTTGAAGTACAGATTTAGCTAAGCGCATGTGTCTCCTGACAATGATATTAGTCTCTGGTGGGGACCAGTGTCCAACTAAAAGTTCTTTCCATAACTGGTACTCATAAGTTCCTCTTTGAAGAGCCGGTGGCCATATGTCACTTTGCAGCTCTCTGAAATGAAGCTTTACTCATCCCTTGTAGACTGGTCTTCCCTTTATTGCTGTTGCTCAACTGTCCATTGTTGTATGAGAATGGCTTCTGCACAGATTTAAAACATTTCTTATTTAAGACAAATTGGGAAATTGAGACCCAGCGAGTGGTTTCCTGTTTTGTTCAAGACCCTGTCTTGAAATAGCACAAGATCAGGATCCAGTCTTACGGCTTGGCATGTGATCCTTTCCCAAGCATCTCACAATGCCTCCTTTTGGCCTCACTTGAGTTTGCCACGTCACAGCTGCTGGGCTACAATCCATCCTCTGGGCAAGTCTAGCAGAATGGTGTTGCGATGAGGTTCACTTCACTTGTGGCTTGGAAGGAGTCGGGGTCTCTTAGAAATGAAACTTATAAATTCTAACACATAAGGAAAGTTCTTGCAACACCAGGAGAATGAATCAGTCAGCCAGAGTTCAGGAAATGTAAACACATTTTTAGATAGGAGACTGAAAAATTGCTCAGGGCTTCTCCATCTCTTGGGTCAAGACCCTAGTAATTTACTGAGGTCCAAACTGTCAAGGAGGAGACACAACTCAAATTGCATTCCAGAGAGATAAAGCAATGGGATGGCAGAGCTTCCTCTCTGAACAACGTGGCGGAATTTACCCGTGTTATCAAACTGAAGAAACTGACTAGCCCATGACCAATGTGGGCAACTGGCTGTGTACAGACATGCCTCCCTTTCATGATTCTGGAGCAGGCGTGTACTTCGGACTGCGTGCTGCACAACTTCTTCAAAACTGGGAGCTCAGTCTTTTCATTGATGAACGTTTCTGCCACTAAGAGATAAAACACATTCCTTCTCTGGCTGCCCACCATCAGGCCCAAGCAGATTTTCAAACGCTAGCATTAATCTAACCACAGGCTTTTAGTGAGGAGATAGCATTCCTACCAGATAATCAGGCGGTTTCTGAGATGACCCCGACTAGATGAGGTCTCATCCCAAACCTCTTCTGCCGTCTTCAGATCATGGGATACTTCACTAAACACTCAAAACTTGAAAAGCCAGGAAGAGCATCTGATTCTAGCATGGAACTCAGGGCCTTAAAGCGTTTTTCTGTTTAAACCAGTGTTGACTATGTTTTTCCCAAGTTGTTCATTGTTCCAAATAACATGTAACACAAATCAGAGTTCTTCCTATTATTTCAGAAGACTTATTTCCCTTGGCATGATATGCTCTGGTGGGCCCATCTGTCTTAGAATAGAACCTGAATTCTAAAAAGTCACCTTATAAGGCAAGGTGGGGCCTCTGGCTCTTGCATAAATTTGTGTGAGCACTTGGGAAAAAATGTCAGGCCCACAGGCTCCAAAATGGCCAAATGTTTGATGGTTACTGGGGCAGTAACTATTGGAGGTATTGGTGGGAGCCTTTTCTTTTTTTAAAAAAATAATATAGTAGTTTATTTTTACATCATTTTGTGCTTTTTCCCAACTCAGTTGTAATCCCTGTGGGCTTCCCATCACCAGATCATCTGTGTGCCATCATCATAGTCCTGTGTACTCCGCCCCCTCCCCATTTTTGATCCTGTTCCCCATTCCAGCCCTGTAAAATGTCTCTGGTATATAGTTGTTCACTATTATTACTATTTTCTCCTCTGGTCCTTTATAATCCTGCTATGAGTGAAACCATCCAGTATTTTTCCTTTTCTTTCTGGCTTATTTCATTGGTGGGAGCCTTTTAAAATATGTTTGGGCATCTTCCCACAACCTACAAATTTCTGAGAATTGAATAACCTTTATGAATTGACCCTATGTACTCATATGTATTGACCCTATAATTTGGGGGGAGGATATATCCATCACTAAATAGATCTTAGATACTGTACATGAACTTGTAGATTCCGGTAGGTGCCTATTGGAAGAGACCTACAAGTCAATCTTTATACCTCTATCGTTCTGTGTTTTTGTTCAGAAATGGAAAATGCAGGAGCAAATTCCATATTACTAAAAAAAACAACAACAACAGCAAAAAAAAAACTTCTTGGTATAAACTAAACCATAAAAGGAAGGATAATTCTGGTTCCTCTACATAGCCTTAAGAATCACATCTAAAAATACTTTATTTTATATGATATGACTCAAGACACCTATGACCTATAGAGTGTTTTGTTGTGTTGCAATAAATCTTGAGTCTGCTTGGTTAATGGAAGACACCAAGACCCACGATGGCCTTTTGGTATTGTCATTATCAAATTCTTAGGACAAGATTTAAGACCTTGTTTATGCTACATATTTCCACTTTAAATCTTCCTGGATGAGGAGGAGGGTAAGACAAGTATATCAAACAGTTGCTTACGACCTGAGAAAGTCTCTAGGCTAACGATATACTCCAGGGAACTTTATTAAAGGAGCAAATAGACAGATCTAGAAGATATGAGTCAGTCTGCAGTTAAATATGGAAATGCTTGGTAAATGCAAGTATAATATTTTTTTTCCAAATTGGAATAATAGTTCTTTCACTTAAGTCTTCTTAGACCAAGCCTAGCTCAGTCTCAAGCGTCTGGCTTTTGCTTTGGGAACACCAACTCCTCTCAAAATTTCAAAAAATTATTTTCTTAAAAAAAGATTTATTTGTGCATACAGAACTGGGGTACAGGCCAGAGGCTCAGGGGCAGTGAGAGACTTCACCAGAGACAGAGTGGGGAACAGAACAGGCAGATCGACGAAGTACACTGCTGAGGGGAGCAGCGGGCGGGTCAGGAGAGGTCTGCCACGCCACGTGGTCACCTCCGGGGCAGACGGGAATTGAACTCATGTGAGAGTGGCTTCAGCTTCTCAGTGCTGTGCTTTAATCCGCGGTGCCACCAGGGAGGGCCTCCTAAGTTATTTTTTATGGAGAGGTATAAAGGCACATGGCAGTTTACCAAATCCAAAATGGAAGGCAAACCTGATGATGGAATTGAAATATGAGTTGTGTGATAACAACATGAGGGACCTCCAATCCAGATACACCATTGGATCAATAAAGAAGCCTGTGGTGGAAGAGGGGAGTTCAAAAAAAGAGGCTGAAGATGGCTCTGCAAAAAATTCATGTGTCAGTATCACCTCTGCAGAAAATGTTGTTCTGTGTCACTTGCTTCTAGACAGCTGGTCTCCCAGCCTCTGGTCTTATCTGTTACTGAAATCCATTCTTTACAAAGCTGGGAGAGTCATTTCTTTAAAATAAAAATCTGGTATGTTAATTCCTATATAAGCAGGATCTTACGTCTTTGGGATAAATTCCTTACTTGCTGCCTATCATGATCGGGCTCCTGCCTACCCTACCAGTTGCATTTCTCACCACTCCCTCACTGACAAGTGCCCTGGGATCAAGGCATTACAAATGCTTCCTCCCCCCTTCTCCAACCCCACCCCCCATGCCACCATCTTCTCCAAGCTTCATATGGTCCTTTTCCTTAGAATGGAATTTCTTCTTTTATATTATATGGGAATATTTCTGGTCCCCAAGTAAAATTTTAGAGTATATTTTATTTATTTATTTAAAAGATGTATTTATGCATACAGAACTGGGATATAGGCCAGAGGTGCAGGTGCGGTGAGAGACAGAGTGAGGAGCAGATCGACAAAATACACTGCTGAGGGGAGCAGTGGACAAGACAGGAGAGGTCTGCTGTGCCATTGGGCCACCTCTGGGGCGGGGGATTGAGCTGGCACTGAAGTGGCTGTGGCTAGCTTGCAGTGCTGTGTCCTAACCCATTGTGCCATTAGGGAGGGCCTATTTTATTTTATTTTTTTAAAGATTTATTTATTTGTACATACAGAACTGGGGTACAGGCCAGAGGCTCAGGAGTGGTGAGAGGCTTCACCAGAGACAGAGTGGGGAGCAGAACAGGCAGATCGATGAAGTACGCTACTGAGGGGAGCAGCGGGCGGGTCAGGAGAGGTCTGCCTCGCCATGTGGTCACCTCCGGGGCAGGAGGGAATCAAACTCATGCGGAAGTGGTTTTGGCTTCCCAGTGCTGTGCTTTAACCCGCTGCGCCACCAGGGAGAGCCGGCCTATTTTATTTTTTAAAGATTTATTTATTTATGCATGCAA